CTGCCCCATCTGGGACCTCCACATCACGATCACGCACGTCTACGACTACCTCGGTACCCACTTCGATCAGATGTGCAGCACTAACGTAAGAGCAGCTCACCAAATCACAAAGCAAACAGCTGCACTTCTTCCCCTTAAAAGAGACACGCTTTAAAACGTACACGTATGCACTGACATGAAGGTGGAAATGGCAGACATGTTTGCTAACTGCCATCTCTACTGCCAAGCAAAGACATGAAACTCAATCTCGAGCAGTACCCTAGCACAGCTTTACACGGCACGTAACCAAGCCTACATAAGTGCCACCTACTCCCACCACCTCCAGCAACCAGAGAAGCCTACGCCGGATCCACGACTACCACTACCCACAGACAGAACAGACCGGCCGCCCCTGCCGACTGGCTGGGCCTGGGCAGTCCAGCTCGCGGCCGGACCGCCGCTCCCAGCGCCGGGAATCTGGTGGCCGCCCGACGCCCTGGGAGGAGGGCCGCAAGGGGACACCCGCAGGCGGCGCACCGAGGCCGCCCTGCGCGCACCCGCCAGACAGAGCTCAAGCCACGACGACGACGACTCAGGTATTTGTGTGCAAACTCACAACACAGGGGCCACACATCCAACTTAATCCCATCAACCTTATTCACGAGCGACAACGACCCGCGCCCAACAGCCACAACACTCACAGCACCTGGATTGACCTCATCGCTACGGACCTGCAATGCTTAGCCAACCGAACCACCGCACCAGACGAGCCCCAACGACATTGGGACGTCAGTAGATGGGCCGAATACGCAAACAACGCACCCGAGCAATTTAACAACCAAATCGACAGAGCCAAAAAAAGAGAGCACATAGTATTCAGCGACAAGCTCAGCACCGAATTGTGGCCACAACGCATACAGTACCAAAAAACACCCACAAGCAAACGACATGCAACATGAAGTATACGGACGCTCATTCCTCAACTGCAAAAAGCAATTCCACACTCGACACAGACTACCCACACACGTCAAGTACCGCGTACCCGGCTGCTACACGCACTACATCCAGAACGTCGACACGATACCAACGGACGAAATGGCAGCGATACGACTTGACGAGGAAAAGGGTAATGACATCAGCCGGAGCAAAGGACTACGACACGACGCAGCTACAATACCTGTCGCCAAACCAGCAGGCTACATACGCCAACCGAGGCAACCACTCGACGACATAACACCACCGACGACGACCACAACCAACAGCAGACCCGAAAGGACACCAAAACGCGACAACAGATTACAACCAGCATGCAGTCTCCAACTCTCCCAGCGTGCAAGAAACGCCCACGACATTCAACACCACCTGGACACCAATCGCACTACAAATAACTGCACCTGCATTAGCATAGGCACGAGCGACGACGCACACATCGACTTAACAAGTTGGGAGACTACCGAAACGTGGCTCGCGTTGCAGCAATCATCACGAACAACAGCGACACCACAGGGCACAGCTGCGACGATCACCACACAAGCAACCAGTGCTGGGGCACACAGCATCGACAAGCCTCTCAGCTGGACAAGACACGTCGTGCGAATCGCAGGCGACAAACACCCGCGCTCCTACTCACAGTAGGACAACACACCAACACACCAGCCATTATGCTTGCTCACCGAACAAATCGAACGGCGAACAAACACAGCACCTGGCATATACCACAACTGAGACAGCTGCGTACTGCGGCGCAACACATAGAATTCGACCGATGCACAATTGGAAGCGACACGCGTACCCCAACCAATATGACCGCACGGCATATACCAGAATGTGCAAATTAGATACAGCAACGACACAGCAACAGTATATGCGACTGTGCAACACATGGCACAGAAGCAGCAGAGGACGTCAAAGGTAGCTACAATATACCAGTATTGCTAAGCCAGCGAATAACCAGCTGCATAGCCAACAAGCTAGCCTCCTACCCTCAACCAACAACACCCACCGACCACGACGGATACCTGCTACTAGACCCGTACCTCCAATGCCACATCTATTCCGACCTAGGCAGCGCCTGTCCACGAGCGCTTCGCCGACAGGATGGGCAACACAACGCGCAGCCAGCAGCCAGCACAACCAACGCAACAGTTATGCCAGCTGGACCCGGCTACACGGACAGGGATTGATACACATAATGGAGGACAGGTTACCGAGTCCAACGTTTCGGACAGCTACAAACCTCTAACGTACATTTTGGTTGGAACATATAGCTGTGTCTTCTTTCGCAAGTGCAGCATACACAACCTTAAGTGGCTGGGACATTACCGTGCACGACCATAAACAAATCCGCGATGCGTTCAAAGGGACAGTATCACTCACATGCCTCAAGGGAGCAATTGCGGCCTGACCCTCAGAACATACCGACCCCACAAGGCAGGACATCCCACACGCCTAGCGGACACATGCAAAACGCACGTTCAGATACAAGGAGGACAGACAATCATACGTGACCTGCAGCAACATAGGGTACTGCATTACCTGAACGGCACTCATTGCGGATCGCACTTCTCTCACACCGCCGTGCAGATCGAGATATACGAGTCTAGTTCGCAGTTTGTCTGTGGATAGTTGGGGAGACAACATCGCCGATCTGGCCTTGCGTATGTGACGACCAAGAACCAATCACACCCTGCCGTTATCTGACCTGGCCCTTGCATTGATCTCATGCAATGCACCTGTCTTGCGCGCACTGTCCAGCACTACGTACGAGAGAGCGCGCCCACAGCGACCGAGCAAGGGGGATGGTGGCGTGGCTTAAGCTACCCCCCCCTCCCTTGAGCCGCCCGTGTTGGAAGCCACCCCCCCTCCCCCATTGTTTCAAGGGGGGGGGCTTGGAAGTTACCCCCCATTTCACCCCCTTTGGCCGCCCTAGAAGCTACCCCCCTCCCCCCTTTCCGAAGGGAAGGGGGTACTTAGCTACCCCCCCCTGGACCCCCTGCTGGAAGCTACCCTCCCCCTCTCCCCTTTTGTTCCAAAGGGCGGTGGTTGGAAGCTACCCCCCGTCCCCCATTTTGGCCACCCCAGAAGCAGAGGGGGGGGGGCTTAGCTACCCCCCCCTTGGACCCGCCCTGCTGGAAGCTACCCCTCCCCCTCCCCCCCTTTCCCAAACTGGGAGGGGGCTTGGAAGCCCCCCCCATCCCCTCTTTTTCACATCCAGCCCCCGGAAGCCTCGTTTCCCATCCAGCCGCCGACGATCCAAAATCAACAATCGACGATCGAGGATAGACGATCGACGATCAACGATCGAAAGATCAAGGATCGCCGATCGAGAGATTGGGTTCCAATCCAATCGATTGCAATCCAATCGATTACACTGCAATCGATTGCAATCCATTCCACTGCAATCCCCCTCCTCCCCTCCCTCCGCTCCCTGCCCTCCCTGCCCTCCCTCCCCTCCCTCCCCACCCTTTGTTCCCTCCCCTCCCTCCCCTCCCTCCCCTCCCTCCCCTCCCTCCCCTCCCCTCCCTCCCGAGTAGCAGCGAGCGCCCCCCGCGTGCGGCCGCGTGCGGCCGCCGCCCACCCGTGCCACTGACGTCTAGTACCCTCGAGGGAGCGTCGAGTGGCCGACGATCTTTGATTTAGGCATGAGGGGTCCCACGTCGCCAAGTGTTGCCGTTCAGGCCAGAACGCGTTGTGTGCCCGTCCTCCCCATGCCGCCCGCCAGGTACACGTACCTCCGCCCGGCAGGGGAGGAGCATAGGAGGGGCCCTAGTCCGCTTGTGTGCTCCTCTCTCTGTCAGACACTGTCTTGAGTGCCTCTGTTGTAGCTTGGCGTGCAGGGACGCTTCGCCATCACCAGATCAGGACCGCCCTTGCACATTGCACTCTCTCTCTCTATTCCTGACCACGGTTGCGAGTCGGTGAAGCGCACTTTGCGCACCTTTTTGTATGACAGGCTCTTGCGGTCTGTAGGACCGCCGAGGGCCTGGCACTGCAGTTCTGTCAAATACCTGCCCGCCACGGCCATTCGAGGGGTTCCACGGAGGTGGGAGTTTGATAAGGGCGGGATCGGTGGGACGTACTGTTCTGAACTTGTTCTCTTGGTGCCCGTGCAGATGACTTCGACGTCAAGTACAGCTGCTGCTTGTGCTGAATTGTCTCGCCAGCTGCGTGCCACCCTTTGCTGACAGGCTATATGTTTCAACAACGTCACAATCCCAAAATCCCCTCCCTTCCTTCCGTCCTTTCCCTCCCCTGCAATCCAATCGATTGTAATCGAATCGATTGCAATACAACCGATTGCAACACAACCGTACTATTATACTCGTCCCGTGGCAACGCCCAGGGGGCGAAACCATACTGCTCTGCTATACTCGTGCCATGAGCAAGGTCGGGAAATCAACAATATACATTTCTACTGGACTCGTCCCTTGGCAACGCCTGGAGGGGCACAAAGAATACGATTCCACTCTACTCCTCCCTTTGCGACGCCCTCCCCTCACTCCCTGTCGAAAACCAGCGCAGCCTGACGATGTGGGGAGAGCGCGCATGGCCCAGCGGGGCCTTTCAAGGACAAACACAATGATCGCCCTCATCCTCCTCCCTCCTCCTCCTCCTCCTCCTCCTACTCCTCCTCCTCCTCCTCCTCCTCTGCTTCCCCCTGCTCCCGTCTTCTCACCCCTTCTCCTTCCCCCGTCCGTGTCCTTCTCCTCACGCCTCCCATTCCCCTTACCCTTATCCTCCACCCTGAACCTCAAACCACCCCTACTCCCCCACAACATCTGCCGTGAGCCGATGGGGTCCTAAGGAAAACGGGTCCTGGACAATCCACAGTTTCCCAGAACTGGCGTTTCATGGTGAATCGCTCTTTGACGGTAAGGGCTCTGGGAGGCCAGAAATAACGAAAAGCATCCAGATCCAATTCCCTCAGGAACCCTCTGGCTTATGGCGGCGTCCTCTTCCCTTCCCCGCTTCGTCCCTTCAGGCTAGTCTGCCCCGCTCCCTCCGGCCGCGGCGGTAGCAGCCTCGCGGTCGCCCATCAAGCCGCCGTCCGCGTGCTGCAGGGCCAGGCCGCACTGCTCGACGGCGATCAACACCAACTGAAAAGAATCGGCGTGGGGGTGGGAGCGGGCGAGGGGGACATCGTGGGCGGGTGTGAAACGGATCCGTATCCACAGCCTCGCGGGCCGGGGCCCTGGGCCGCGACCCCGCGTATACGGGGTGTTTTTGTTCGCAAGTTCCCCGAGCGGAACGCATCCGTGGGACCGCGTATCCCTGGGATCTCGCTCTGGAGTCCAAACCGCGAGGGCGTGGGCATGGATACGTTCACGGCTCGTGGGAAGCGGGGGCGCCCAGTACTCCCTTGCACTACTACGATGTGGCTGCGATGGCTTCTCTACATCACGAGATTGCTGCCCACACCACGATGCTGGGAAAGACGACGCTTCGATGCTATAATGCGGTCGCTTTAGCCCGTCGCCGGCGTCGCGCGCTCTGCTCTCTCCTCTCGTTTCTGCTCCGCCGCCAGCTGCGGGCGTCAGGGGACCGCCAATGGCGCCGCGCGCCGGGCTGCCGAGAAGAACGGGCGTACGCGTATGGGTTGGGCGGCCCGCTCTGACGGTGCCGAGGTCCTCCACGCTGTGAGCTGAGGGCGCTCCGGCCCTCCCGCGGCTCTCCCCTCCCTCCCCTCCTGCCTCCCCCTTCCTGTGTGCCTACGCTCTCGTCGCGCCCTGTCGGGGTGCCTCGACCAGCAACGGTTTCGGCGATTCGGTGGCTGTGAACTCCGGCCGGACCCAGGTGGCAGTGACGGTCTGGGAAAGCGACGACGACGCGGGCTCAACTTTTTGCTCGACGGTCGCTTTCGGAGGGGCCACTGCCGTGCAGCTGCTGGAAACTTTGTGGCGGAGGATGGGGCCGCGGGGAAGCTGCTTGGCGAATCGCTGGCCATCAGCTCCGACGGGACCCGAGGGACAGTGGGGGCCTCGGGGGGAAGACGACGTTGGCTTCATCCCAGGCGCAGCGTACATGATCGACGGGGTCCCAGGCGTGGAGCTGCTGAAGCTGGCGGCGGAGGACGCGGCCATCGGTGATGCTTTCGGCGACCCGGTGGGTGTGACTCGGCCAGGACTAGGGGGGTTGGGGGCTTGGGGGAGGACGACCTCGGCTCCAACTCCTGGGCAGTGCACGTGCTCGACAGGACCACTGGCGAGCAGCTGCTGAAGCATGTGGCAGAGGACGAGCCCCCCCCCCCCGACGACTTGTTCGGCGATTCGGTGTTCTGGAGCTCCAACAAGACCCGAGTGGTGGTGGGGGCCTCCCATCATGACGACGTCGCTCGTGCTGGCTCCGAGCACATGTTTGAGTGATATTTCGATCGCAAGTTCCACCAAGTCAAGCACCACGGCCACCACCACTGGAGACGAACGATGATGTCGCCCAGGAGGATATTGCCACAAACTCTCCCACCGCAAGCACCACCTCCACTGATATTGCCACGAGCACCACCGAAATGTGCGTGGCATCTTTGACCAACTCGCAGGCGTTCGAGCAGGAGCGAGGATCAGAGGAATGTAATCGGCGCATTTGCTTTGGCTGTCGCCTGGCCTGTGGCACAACCATGTGCCTTGGTATACCGGATCAGGCGAGCGTTCGTCAACAGGACACTCGTGGCCGAAAGCGTCCCCAAGGCAGTGAGAGGCACAATACTTGCTATATTCTCGTCTCGGGATATGCACGCACGGGAAGCGCACGAGACGTGTCCATTACCATGGTTTATTGATTCCTCCCCTTCCATGAGCTCATGTCCATGCCAGAGTACGAGCCCCTCCCGCGGCATCAGATGTGGCACAACAGGGGGCTGCTGGTGAAGCAGCAGATAGATCTGGGAACGTGATGGCGGGAGCTTTTCGTAAAGGACACGATTGTGGTTCCCCACCGCTGGCTTATCCCGCATCATGTTGCATCAAGCTGGATAGTATGAGAACTGTTGGCTACAACCTATCCCGTCCGTCAAATTCATGTGGCTCGATTTAATAGTATGTGCACCCCAGGGGACGCAGCGATAAGGAAGAAAAAGAACACCAACGGATTGTGGAACCCATGTTGCCGTTAGTCTTCCTCGGGTGCAGGGAATGTCTCTCGGACGATCACATATACAACCAACGCTGCTGGCTAAGCGTGGAACGCTGGATCGCAATTAAGATGGCGACCGATAACGGGCTACTGCCAGCCACCGACAATGATCTCCGAGTTCAGGTCTACGGTATACGCCCAAGTGCGATCAACACGACTGGGACTAGCAGTATGTTGGCAAGCAGCATGCGTGCGAGCAGGAGCAGGTCTGCTGACTCTTGAAGTGTGGCCTTTGTGCCCTCTGAGAGGGGGTTGGAGACTTTGAGCCTGATGGGAGGGATGGGGAAGGGTGGGAACCCCGCTCCCAACAATCCCCACCAATCCTGGCGCAGTACATGCGACGCCACGGGGGGACGGACCGTCCACCCATCTCTCCACCATAGCGGGAGGTGCGAAGCCCCTGTGGTCGAACTATAGGCCTTTCGACAACCAAAGGTGGGCACAATAGGCCTCCCGCCACCTAAAGGAGGTGCGCCATATGCCCTTCACCCTTCATGACATCACCGTGACCTGTGACCTTCAGTGATTTGTTTCACTTGGTTATTGGACATATTTCCAGCGTGGGATATGAGGACGACTGGTGGCTTCTGGCCACGCACGACGACGCGTCATCCTTCAAGGTTCCGCGTTCCGACGCTTCCCTGGCCTCGCCGCATCTGAAAGGAGCATCCCGGCTCTTCGACTCTGCCTTTTGTTGATCCACTATCTGGGTCGACCCAGGGTAATGCGCACTTGCTCCAGACAGCGTCGATGTGTTCTAGGCCCGCGTTCACCTTGGTCTGCCGATGTTTCTTCTCTGCTGCTCTCTTTCTCTCTCTCTCTCTCTCCATCTTCCTTTTTTTTTTTTCTCTCTCTCTCTCTCTCTCTCTCTCTTTGCCGCGGCTTAAGACACGGGCCCGTGCTCCTTGCGGGAACGCAGACCGAGTTTGCCCTGCTGCATGTCCCGTGCCTCCACGGAAATCTGTACATCGCTGCTGCTCTGAGATCGGATTCGCACCCACATCACAGTGGCCCATGTTGGAACAAAAACGAGTGGACCCTCCTAGCCTCCTCTCCCCTCTCTCAATATCATCGCCCTTCTCCGATCTCAGCTCCTCAAAGCTAGACAAAACAGCCGGGATGTCTTCCTCAGACCTGGGGGGGAGTTGGCCCATCGAGACTCCTGAGCCATCGGCGGTTTGGTGTAATCGCACTTCTCGACAAGTCGTGGAGAAACCCAGTAATAGCGTCTAGGGTTGAGGGGGAGGCGCTACCTCCGCCTGCGAGGGCACTAACACAGCCAGGTAAGCGAGAGGGGGGGCCGCCATCTCAATCAGGAACGGGGGTTGTACGCCAGCGGAGCCCCCGAAGGAAGTAGAGAGAATATCAAAATCCGCCAAGGTAGCCCTAAGAGACTCCGGGGGAGGTCTCGGGGATACAAGTCTTAGGAGACAAATAGCGTGCCAGAATCAAAATCCCACGAGCTCTCTGGGCGTCGGTGCTTTGGCAGATCAGCCCCATCAAAATAACACCCTTTCCCCTGCGGGAAAAAACAATACCCCTCCCCCGACACCCTCCCTGAAGTCTGCACCTGGGTTTCGCGAGGGGGTGAAACGTCCAGAAGACCCAACACTGTTCAACACGGCCAGGATGGCCCCGGATAGCCCCAAATTGCCAACAAGATCGCGCAAGGTGGCCGATACGTTCCCAAGATGGCCTCCATCTTGCGTTCGAGAAGCTCCGAGACAATTACAGATGGGTAGCCACGAAGCCTCTCAAACATGCACAGGAGGCCAAAATACTCAAACGCATTAGGCTGCTTACTGATAGCTGCCTTCTCGCCTTTTCACGTCCGGCTGGCCTATGAGGCTTCAAGTTTGCTTCAAGATTGCTCAAGAAAGCCCAGCTTCGGTTTGGTTCGGGCCTCCATCGCCTTCTTTCATTGGTACTCCTTCGCTTCCTTATCACGACATCTCGACTGGAAATCGTCAATGTGAGCTGGTGGGGAAGCATCAAGAACTCTGGAGATCCGATATGTTTTGCGCCCGCTGGGGGCTCTCTCTTTGAGATGGCGCATCCCTTAAGCCACGATCTACCTAGCACGCCCGCGAAGGTCACCATGTGAAGTTGAAAGTCGCCCCCGAACTCAAAGCTTGGTGCTCTTGCGTGTTGCCTGCTCACGAGTGGCTGCGCTTTGAGATCGGATGCCTCCGCGAGATACCTGTTCCGGAGCTCCGATACCCAAGCCGCGTGCGAACGTCGTTCGAAAGAGAACACATGAATCTGAAGTAGGGAGGCGTTCAAAGTAGATCGGGCGTCGGCTTGCCGCTGCGCAAGTGCAATTCCTCGATCGCCGATGTAAAAAATGCGCTTGAAGTAGATGACCACGTGATGCTCAAGAAGAACCACATTGGAACAAGCGGCGATCACCTGGAATCCAGATTACAAGGGCTTCGGTGCCAATAACCCGGGTGAGCGTGTACGTTTTTACATGCATCGTCCATAAAACAATATCTAGTTCGGGGACTCATGGATGAGGGAGGTGATGGACCGATCAGGAGCTCCTGCGGTGAAAAGACACTGAAGGAACCGGTACGAGCTATCCAGGTAACCATTGTTGGTATGCTGACTGTTCACATCAGATAGCTTGGAGACGCCGATGCCGTCTGAGGCGGTTCGAATCTGCGTCGCGGGCTCTCTATGCGGAGAACGATGGAACTAGTATCAATGGCATCGGGTGCGGACATCCATACTGCTGCGTAAAGTGTAGGGCCGGCTTGCCAACGCAGAACTGCCTTGGTGCACCTCAGGGGGACGGATAACAGAGGAGAAGGGAAGCGTGGAGGAGGCAAGGACACTTTGGAGAAGGGGGGGGGGAAGCTGAAGGAGGGAGCAGGGAGGAATGAAGAGGGAGGAGATAGGAGAGATTGCTGCGACGAGGGAGCGAGGGAGTTGGAAGGGCGGAGGGTGGAGGGCGGTGGGCCAAGGGATGCTCCTGGATGTTTTCAGGTCGCCACTTAGCCCACTTGGCCTTGGAGCTTGGATCGCTCCAGGAATTGTCCGGATGGCACGCTCACGCCAAGCATTGCTGGAGGCGGTGTCCTCCTGGCGAGCGGCGATGGGTGATAGGCTCCCCTGCTCACTGGCCCGCTGGGCAGCCGCCCCCCGCCCCTCCCCGTCCGGCGTGGCCTGGCGATCTGCGCGGAGCTCTGGCGTGGCGTACTGGGCAGGGAGGCGGGGCGGCAGGGAGTCGGGCTCTGGGAGAGCAGGGTCGAGGAGTGATGCTTTGGGGCGCTCCTGGAGGCGCCCCGTGCGCTTACTGGATGTTCTGGATGTTTGCCTGGTGGGGGCCTCTTTGGTGCCAAGTGCGCTGAACGGGGTTAACGGTGTTTCGCCTGGAGTCACAGGGCTTTCGCTGAAATCATAAAGAAAGCCACGTGTGTTTGGCCATTCTGTCACATGAAAGCGTAGGGACCACACGCGCGCATGTCGAAAACGTTGAACCATGCTCGCGCGCCCGCCAACTCTCTCAAATAATACTAGCAGCACGCACGCGTCTTAGCGAACGCACGTCGAGATCCTTACAAAACGACTGTTTCCTGCGCACCTCAAGACAGAGGTGTCCGAACACAGACTCAATGGAAGCGTCAGGTATTCGGAATGCCTACGCGGGCACTTCCTCGCCGTCTGATCCTCGCCAACGCCATCACCATGAGTTCATCATCATAGCCAGCGTTAGCATTGCCACCATCATCATCATCATCATCATCATCATCATCATCATCATCATCATCATCATCATCATCATCATCATCATAGTCCTCATAATCATCATCGTCACCATCATCACTGGTACCATCATCATCATCATCATCATCATCATCATCATCATCACCGCCATCACCGCCATCATCAGTATCATCAACAGCATCATCATCGTAATTGTTATCGTCATCATCATCATCATCATCATCATCATCATCATCATCATCATCATTATCATAGTCGTTGTCACAATTATCCTCGCAACCATCACGATCGTCGCCATCGTCGTCCTTACAGTCGTCATCAAAATCATCATGGTCATCGTCGCTATCGTCGCCATCATCGCCAGCGCCACCATCATCATCAGCATCATCAGAATCAGCATCATCCTCATCATCAACTTCATCATCATCATCATTGTTGCCGTCGTCGTCATCCTCATCCTCATCCTCATCCTCATCCTCATCCTCATCCTCATCATCATCATCACCATCACCATCATCATGATCCGCATCCTCACCATTAGTATCCTCATGTTCATCCTCATCATCCTCATCCTCATCGTCATCATCACCATCATCACCATCATCATCACCACCATCGCCACCACAACTCGTCGTTGCCGTCGCCATCGTCATCATCGGCATCACCATATCCTGTCCTGCATAGATTCGTCTGCGCGGTTACGGGCGGGCACCGGTCGACAACCTCCAAACACCAGCCAATCACTTTTGAAGAAAGTAAAAGCCCTAGCGCATACACCAGATAGGAGAAGCACAGAGGAGCATGGCATGTGAAAGGGAAAGGGCTAGGCAGACAGGATAGCGGAGGAAGGGGGCGAAGAAGACAGAAGCAGAGGAGGAAGAGCAGCCGAGGCCAAAACATGGCCAGGACATGATCGAGGACGGCGGGGCCAAGAGCCAAGAGACTGCGCGTCTCTGGGGACATGCAGGTCTGGAGGATAAGGAAGTAAAGACCAAGTATTCAGAGCCTGGGTGTCGAGCGGGCCCAGTTACGTTGCTGAGGAGAAAGATGGGGGGAAAAAGATAAGGAAGAGGAGGAAACTGGAAAAGGTAAGAACGGGAGTTCCGGGAGCTCCGCGTTCGGCCGCTCCACCTCCACTGCGTGTCATGGAGAAAAACCGCCCCAATCAAGACAGCAGAGCGCCTCCACGTGTATTCTTCGAATGAGCTCAGGACTCCGCGACTCTAACTTTGATAGGAGGAGTGAGGGAATCGGTAAAGCGAGGACGAGGACAAGGACAAGGATGAAGACTAGGCAAAGGATACAAGCGTCCGATGCACATCTAGCTCGATGGGGTACCAAACTACTGTCTCGGATTGCAGGAGCCCCAGGACCGAAATCTGATATATCTGCAAGCTGGTGCTTGTCGAGGATGTATGCTTCGAAAGCTTCGCTTATACATAAATGCTTTCGTGCATACTGGCGGAGATGGCCAAGCGACGGCGGTGGCCCTTTCCAGATCTCTCCAGGTCGACGGTAGCTTCGCGAGACCCATAACAATAACGCCCAATGGCTATAGCCTTGCCTGCCACAAGTTGCAACGGCGCCGTTTTTACCTGAGCAAGCTCTGTGACGGCCAACCAGGCTAGGCCCTGGACAACTCAAACACACCCCTGAACACAAACAGGACAGTTACGGAGGCGGAAAAAAAGCCGCTTCAGACATTCGAACCTATCTGCGAGGCTTCAAGGCCTTGGTGCTGCCGCGTGAAGCCGCATCGGGGCAGCAAAGGCTGTCCAGTCCAACAACATGAACATACATGTTCCGTGGATGAGCGCTGAACAGAAGTGAAGTCCACGCTCCACCATAGTCTAGTATATCCGATAAGACACGCTGGCCTGTCTGGAACCGCGGCCCTCTCCTCAGCTTGCAGGCCACCAATACCAAGAGCCCCATCGTCCAGCCACCCCGTTTCTCCTGAAACGGAGAAGATACAGGGAGAGGGAAGGAGATGGGGAGGGACAGGGGGAGGGAAGGGGGAAGAGGAAAGGAGAAAGAAGGGCAAATAATATTGCATGTTCGCGGGGGGGGCATTGTCTGTCGCATCACGTCGCCATTCGTGACACGTCCGTGTCAAACCCCATGTCGAATCCGCGGCGAGCTCGTGACGAACCCAAGAGAGACCGATGTGCACGGACAGGGCCCAACAAGAACTTGCACCATGAAAGCTAAGTGAAAACAAGAAGGAGATCCCTCTAATCAAACGTTGCAAACTAATTACAAAATTGCCGCAAACATCACCACCTGAACTCCAGAACTCGTCTTTCTGCGTCATTTTGGAGCGGGATCGATCTGTGAGGGTCCCGGTGCCCGAAATCGGGCGAAAACGCCCGTTGTGAAAAAATGCAACGACAGGGTCTCAGAGAAGGAAGAGCACACCCCTCCAAGCCTCCAGCGCAAGCCCGTCCTGGCCCACGGCCGCGGAAACCACTTCGCGGTCCGCGCGCAGGTCCTGAGCGCTTGCTGTCTCTGCGTAGCTCCCCGAGCTGCAACCACAGCCCGTGCCAGGAACTCCCAAACAAGTAATTACGTAAAGCAAGTTAGGGCACATGTTCGGGCCAGCCGCCGAATGACCTGAGCAAAATTCTATCATTCGCGGTAACACCCGTGACTGGCCCCGCCCCCTCCCCTGCCCCCTGATCACGTCACGATTTGCGCCGCGCTGTCTGTGAATGAACCTTTTTCAAATATTCCCAGACGGTGCCAGCGCGTATCGTGACGGGATGGCCCCCTTGGTCACCTCCGTTCTCGCCAGGGGATAAAAAAAAATGATCAAAGACGCCGCAAAATACCCCAGTATCTTCACTTCAAGAACTTTCCGCAGGGCCACTTGCCGGGAGGGCAGCGTCTTATCTGGGGCAGGGCAGTGCCTCGTCCGCGCCGCAGGCCTCGACGGCCACAATGACTCTGCCGAGGGTCGCTGACAGGGCTGTGACAGCGACGAGGGTGACCCTGGTGCTGATGACTGACGGGGGGCATGGCTGCCCAAATCCCCGACTTCTTGGGTTTTCGACTGAACAAACACATGAGACCAACCTGTGGGATATACGAAGGGAAGGAGGTCCATCCTCGATAAGGGTGCGTCCTTATGGCTCCCCAGGTATGTATCCCTGAGACCGTCCCCCCTTTTCTGAGCGGCCTAGTTTCTCGGGCGGACCTCGAGGATTCGTGTCGATAAATCACCTGCGAATGACGGCCGTGATGATCAAAGGGATTGGAGCTGCAACGAGACCAGAGAGAGGGAGGAAGGACTCTGGGAATGCCGGGGGGGCAGTGGCAGGCTGCTACGATTTCTGCAAGCAGAGATACGCCCCAGCGACGCAACCTGAGCGCGGTGCCATAGGGCTCTGCGGGGTAAGCCCCAACCCCCGGAATGCCGCCGCCGTGTCGTTCGAAGGCAATCGCGGCTCGTGGAGCCGTGGCCGAGCAGCACCTCAGCATGAATTAACCTCTTGAGTTCGGATCTGCGTCCAAGGAGCACCAGCGAAGCACAAAAGTATGGACGAGGTTCGACAAAGCCTGCCTTCTCCTCCTCATCCTTTGCCCCCCGCTCCCCTGACACTCCCCTTCCCCCCTAGACCTCTTCCAGCGAGTACTCGCCATTCTCGTCTTAACATTGTCCAATACAGCCCAATGAGCCTCAAGATCGTCCGAAGACGGACCATGAGGCGACCCAGAGGGCCCGAAGACGGCCCAATACAGCCCCAAGAAGGCCTAAGAGGGCTCGAAGATGGCCTCAGGGGTCCCTGAGACTACCCACGAGGGCTCCAACAAAGGCCAAAGAGGGACAATGCGAGCTGACATCTTGAGCCCTTCCCCCGCTCATGGCCCCAGAAGCCCCCCAGAGCCACCCGAGGGCATGGCCTGAAGCACCGTGACCAGCGGGGGGGAAAGCAGGGGAGGGGACGGGAGGAAGGTCCAGGGTAAGGATGTGGGGACCCTCCCCCGCGCGGGGGCGGAGGGCTCTCCTCTGACAGGTGTGCCAGCACCCCTCCACGGCGCGCCGCGGCCTCCAACGCAAACGAGCGCTCGCCGCGGAGCTCCTCGCGGCCCGCGGCCCCGCAGAGGTCAGCCGCTGCTCATGTTCCTGCTACTGCTGCTGCCGCAGCTGCTGCTGCTGCTGCTGCTGCTGCTGCCCCGCCTGACTCGCCTTCTCGGACCGCCACTGCCAGCGAGCAAAGTAGGCGACCGGGGACTCCAGCTATGCTCAGACAGACCAGGGCTGGTCAGTGCCCTCCTGGGCCCAAGAGGGAGGGGGAAGAGGGGGGGAAGCTAGTTGCGCGTGCGCCACACATGAAATCCTAGCTCACCCCCTCCCACCCGTGCCTTCTTCTCATTATGACGGGTCCTCTTCTATCCTCCGAGTCGGACCCTCCTAGCACTTGACCCATCGTCTGCTTTGCAATCGGCGAGGGGGCCTTCGCGGAGGGGGAGGAGTGCAGAAGCAGGGGGAAGCGAAGGAGGGGAAAACTGGGGGCGTCATCGACGAGGAGAGAGAGAGAGAGAGAGAGAGAGCAGAAAACACGTATAATGCTTCCGACGTTCGTAAAAGCAAGAGCGCCATTCCAAATGACGGGAGCAATGTACCCATCGGGGAGATGGCCAAGGCTGCAGCGGGAACACCATGTTGTGAAGGACAGAAAAAGACGTTCCGACTGGAAGCAGAAACGCATGTGATAGACCATATGCTGCGAGAGAAGCGCGTATGACAAACCACCTGCTGGAATCCTGCCCTTTGAACAACGAAATGGGAGACCACGCATATTCAAACGTGAGACGGGAGCAACAATGATGATCAGTAAATGTGGGGGGCTGGGGTAGTGGGAGGGAGAAGAAACCAAAGGACTACGCCTTTCGTCCGCGAACCCATACCACAACGCAATGGGCAGTCGAGTCTTCGCCCCCCCGCGAACTGGAGCTTCGAGAGAAGGCTGTTAGGCAAACTGTCTCGCAGTTGTTGCTCGGCTGGCTACGACGGCGGGCCCGAAAGTTCACCTGTAGCGCTCGGTTGAGGAGGCCACGGCTTGCGTCCGTCGGGGCGACTTCCCCCCAGGACAGCCCAGGGAAAAGCCCCCGGATAGCTCCAGGACAGCCAAGCGGCCGCACTGCTAGCGCCCCGCAGGGCCCCCGAGGCAGCCGCGGAGCGGCGGGCGATGTGGCGCTGCAGCGGACAGCAACAGGGTCGCAGCGGGGCTACACCGGGGCGGCGAACAGGCAATGACGCATGGCGCGGCAGGTGGGGGCTCGGGGCGCGCTGGATGGGAAGGCGGTCAGAATCCTGAACGCCCGGTAGGAATGCGCAGCGGCGCGGCAGCTGATGTCGAGCATCGCGACATGAACGCAGTCTAGCAGAGTCTAGCGCACGCCTGCGGTCCTGGCCTGGCGCGCCGTTAGGATTGCTTCCGCGGGGATTTTCCGCCAAGCGGTGCCCGCACAGTCCTTCGCAAGAGCGGAGAGCTCTGCGCGCTGGTAGGCGAGATTCTCGGAAGACAACACGAGGAACTGACTGTCCAGTCCTGCGCCGAGCGGCTCTCTTAAACCTAAGCGAGTGTCCAGATAGCGCTACACGGGGCGCAGGACCCCTGCGATTCCCAAGCCGCCCGCGTCCAGATCGCGCGCGGGCAGCGGTCCAGGGCCCCACCAATCCAAATATCCGAAGTAAGGGAAACTGCCCGAAGTAACGAAGCCAGGAATTCACGTGCCTGCGCCCCCAAAAGTCAAAGAGGCCCAAAAAGGCGCCACAAGTTACCTCGAAGCGGCTTCCAGCGGTCAGAACGCCGATCAAGAAACGCCAAACCGCAATACCTGCGCTGGTCCTCGCACCCGCGCCACGTCGCCTGATCCGTTAGTCTCGCCCCCTCGCAAATCAGCCGTCGTGCCTGCACGGAGTGGATGTGGAATGTGTCGTGTTGTCTAGTGGGAGTGTCTGTAGACTTTCCAGGGCCCCCCCCCCAGCCGGCGCGCCCCCTCGAAAACCGCCCCCTCTGAAATTGCTTTCTGGCGGCTTTTCGTGCTCATGTGCGTTTTTGCACTCAGCTTCTCTCTCTCTCTCTCGGTCTGTTTGGCCTCCAGACGGCAAAGGTGGCATCCAAGAGGGCTTCCAAGACAGCCTCGACGATGACGAAACGGCTCAAGATGGCCCAAGACAGCTCAAGAGCCTCTGAAGAGAACCTTAAGATGACTCAAGATAGCCCAAGAGGGCCTCAAGACGGCCCAAGAGGCCCCCAAGACGGCCCTGAGAGGGCCGAAACCACTGACCCCCTTAGGTGTTTGAAAGATGATAAGATTCTCACCTGTTCGGGCTCCGACCACCCAAGACGGTCCAAGAGGCTTCCAAGAGGCCTCCAATATAGCTCCAAGACAGCCCAAGAGGGCCCCAAGAGGGCCCGAAGTCGGCCCAAGAGGACCCAAAGATCGCCCAAGGGGCTCCCAAAGAGGGCCCAAAGACGGCCCAGAGAGGCTTCTTGGGCTGTCCTGGGCAGTCGGAACACCAAGTTTCCAGAACCTACAAATCCATCAGACACCAAAAAAAACGCAATGGTTTAGGCCTGCTCGGGCTCTCCTGGAGGGCCTCTTGGAGGTCTCTCGAGCCGCCTTGGGGGCCTCTTGACCCCCAAGATGACCCAAGAGGACTCCAAGAGGCCCTCCTGGAGAGCCCGAGCAGGCCAAAATCATTGATCTCCCTTCGGTTTTCCAATGTTTCGATATTCTCACATGTTCGGGTTTCCGAGCGCCCAAGACGGCCCAAGAAGCCTCCAAGAGGCTTCTAAGATAGCTCAAAGACAACCCGAGAGGCCCCCAAGAGGGCCCGAAGTCAGCCCAAGAGGACCCAAAGATCGCCCAAAAAGCTCCCAAAGAGGGCCCCAAGACGGACGGCCGTGAACCGCCCCAAAAGGACACAAACGCGGCCTAGAGAGGACCCCAAGGCGGCCTCAATATGCGTCAGACGGGCCAAGAGCTCTCCAAGACAGCCCAAGAGGCCCCAATAGGCCCCCAAGAGGCCCCCAAGAGACCCCCAAGAAGCTTCGAGGAAGCTCCCAGAAGGCCCCCAGAAAGCCCCTCAGGCAGCTGGATATTACTCTGTAGCACCGGCGGCACCGGCTGCTGGGTGGAGGGCAGGGCGAACATGTCGTCGTTGTCGCCGTCTGACATGACCGCTGCGCCACCGCCAACGACCATGCTGTCATTTGTCCTCCGCCAATTCCTCCTCCTCGTTATCCTCCCTCCTCCTCATCATCCTCCCTCCCTCCCTCCCTCCCTCCCTCCCTCTCGTCGTCGTCGTCCTCCTCCTCCTCCTCCTCCTCCTCCTCCCCCTCCTCCTCCTTCTCTTCCTCCTCCTTCTCCTAATCCTCCTCTTCTCTATCTGCCACCGTGCCTCTGGCAAATTGCAGATCGCAAGCAAGTCCGTAATTGTCCTGGGCATTCCGACAAGCAAGCAACATATGAAACTGGCGTGTTGCACAGTGTGTCCAGTATCGCCGATTCGGCCCCAAGAATGTCCAAGACGACCTAGGAAGCACTCAAGACGACCTATGGAGACTGCCAAAGACGACCTACGAAGACTTCCTCACTAATCATGCTCATAGAGACGGGTGCTATACAGTTGGAGTGGAGGACACGTCTCCTTCAAAAGCCTGCCAATAACAATACACAGGTTGAGGGCAATGCCTGTTTGAGCATCGGACTATCGCTCGATAGTCCTTCACAACTAGTAATGCTAAGACCAGGATGTCCTCACAAACATACGAGCGTGTAGTTTTCGTTACCAAGACGAACTCCTGCTTGGGACTTCACTGTAGCGAACTGTATTAAACATGAAGAAGACCTCGGCACTTGCACGGATGGGACGGGAGGCTCGTGTTTATCGTGCTCTCGCGTCGGCGCCGCGCACACCCTTCTTGCAAGTTCACCTGCTGAATGGGTGGAGGACAGTCCCCTTTCAACCTCATTTTGTCAGAGTGAGATGGCCGAACGGTCGTACACCATCCTTGTGTGCGTGGCTGAAGTAGGCTTCCGTGGCCCCGATTATGCTTCTTGTTGCTGGTTGAAGTCTCACTTCTACAGAATACCTGCTGCTAGGGAAAATCTTGAGCCTCAGACTGCGCTCCTGGCCCTCGAACCGCAACGACGGCTCCTGCCGTTTCCTCCCTCACAAAGTATTATGAATCGCGCTCGCGCTCTGGACTTCCTCACGATTTAATGGGAAACGGGCGCTATCGCTCGAGAGGCCCTCGCGACTCATGCAGGACTGGCGCTTCAACGACGCGCCCGCTCGACCTGGCTCTCTGGGCCCGCACGCGCGACCTGCCCTTTAGGGTCCGCCCGCCCCACCCGCCCGTCTGGTTCTGCCGCTTGCTTCCCTATTCTCTCTCGTGCTCCATCCTTCTCCCTCCCCCTTGTCCAGTCCCTCCTCTTTCCCCTTCCCTGTTTTAGGAGTTGCGCCAACTACACGTGGCAGGCAAAACGGATCTACTCCCAAGGGGGATGCGATCGAAGACGAAGAGGGCGGGTATCGAGGGCTTGGGGTATACATGATGAATGACATGCGAGCAGATGAGAGCGAATAATCTTAAAAGGATTACTCTTGTTGTCTACGTCCCAACCACGACCCACCCGCGAACCACCCCGCGACCCACCCCGCGACCCACCCCGCGACCCACCCGCGACCCACCCGCGACCCACCCCGCGCCCGCTCCCTCACTCCTATCCGCAACTGCGGGGTGCTAAGGTTGTTTGCGATGTGCGGTCCAGTGCTGCTGAGATCACGGAGCCGTCGAATTGTCACGACTTAGTCGTCACAGGTCCAGACCCTGTCGCAGGCCCACCCCGTGACGGTGGGCTCAACTTGTGACGGTGGAGACCTGGGCGGGAGGGTGCACAGTTGCCGCACAGTCTATACTGATGCAGACTAAAAGATACAAGACATTTGGGGGTCCAAGTTGCGACCGTTTCAGCGGCGCACATCGGGCCCCACGGTGGAGGATGGGCCGACAAGGCAAGAGTGCAAGGGCATCCTTGGAAGGAGCACGTCATCCGTACGACGGGCGGCGAGCGCATTGCAGCAGCAGCAGCAGTGATGTGCACTGGTCTTGCTCAGGTTGCTGTCCTCCTTCCCCCACTACTCTCCCCTCCATCTGCCGCGGGGTTCCATGGGCATGCAGAGCAGCGCGCCGGCGTGACGCTCGGCCGCGTCCAGGAGGAAGCCTGCCAATGTCTCTGGGCGGGAGGAGACGAGGATGGGCGGGCAGGGTGGCGAGGAAGGGGGATGGGGGGAGTGGCAGGCGGAAGGAGAGGGAAGGGAGGGCTGGAAGTGAAGGGAGTGGAGGGGAGGTTGCCCCCAAGTGCTTATACGTAGCGACGCGGGGGACTTACCATGTTAGGGCAGGTTCGTGTCGTGGCGACTTGCTATCTGGCTTATGACACCGCGTGGATCGTTCAACACTGAACGATTGTGCCTTTCCGATAGCTCGGGTCGTCCGACGTCGGCCGACTTACCACTGGCGGCGCTCGAACGCCCACGCCGGGGTGTCCGCCGCGTCGACGCGACACGGACCTGACGTACACAGTGGCAGGGGGTCGAAGCGCCTGCACTACAGGTGCTGACAGCTTTCCAAACCGCGGTGGCCCTCCTTTCACTGGGAAGGGTGTCCTTTTTGCGCCGCCAGTGCTCGGCACGGAGCGACCCAGCGCGAGGCGACCTCGCGCCACGGCGCGGCCTTCTCTCCATACGAAGGCTCTGCACAAGCTTTGGAGACGACTGGCCTCAGCAGGGCACCACAAGCACGACTCGCATCAGAGCACCGCAGGCACGCGTCAGGCGAGAAATTTTGCCGCATAGCTGCACGAAGTCATGCGTCCAGCTGGGCCCAGGGCAACTGAGCGGGGAAGTGAAAGGAGGACCAGCAGCACGAGAAGCAGCCTCTACGGAGAGAGCCCCCCTGCTGCGGTAGCAGGGGCCCCCTCGGGGATGGCCAGGGCACCCCCAACTGGGGGAGCCGGTAGGGCGGCCGGCGCTGCCTGCATCGGCGGGGTAAAACCTGATCCGGGGACCAGACCGCAGAACTGGCGGAGGCGGGTGGGGGCGTTCCTGCCTGGGTGGGGGGGGGACCGGGGGTTGGCGACCTGGGCTCCCCCCCTTGATGGATTTCCCGCCCAACTCGGGGCGGCCCCCGGGCCCCATCCGTCGCTCGCCGCCCCTCGGGGAGCCGCTCCCCGAGACACCGGGGCATGGGTGCGCCCGCACAGCGTTTGCTGTGCAGCCGTGCGGCGCATGGCGCTGTATAGTGGCGCCGCTGCAGATGTTGGCCTCTGTTTCTGCAGCTTGTGGTCGTATGAGGTCGCGTGGACGGCAAAAAAACGCCTGTACGGAAAGCGACAGAGAGAGAGGGGGGGGGAGAAATACATAATGGCGAGGAGGAGCACAAGAGTGAGAGATATCATAATGATATACAGAGAGCGGGATATAGAGAGAGAGAGAAAGAAAGAAAGAGAGAGAAATGAGAGAGAGAGAGAGAAACAAAAAAAAAACAACACTATACCCTGATTATACCTACACCTACAATGAGAAAGAGAGAGAGAGAGAGTGATAATGAAATATGCACCGAAAGATAACACAGCAAAAGAAGAGAGAGAGAGAGGCATATATCTTTGTCGACAGAAACGACCGAGAGAGACAGGAAGAAAAAGAGAGAGAGAGAGACAGATATAGAGAGCGAAAACAAAAACATCGCCTATTGACCCGCGGCTGCCTCCCGTCTTTGTGCACGGCATGCCAAGCAGTGAGTGCATCAAGGCGCCAGCGGGTAGGCGCCAGCGGGGAGGCACGCGGACCCTGCCTATTCCCCCGTTCCTCTTGCGAGGTCGGTTCGTGTATGTGTTTGCACGGAGCTACGCTTATTGCGCGCAAACGCTACACTGAAAGAGGGGGAGGAGGAGGTGCAGCACGACGAAGAGTGAAACCAGGACCAGAACGGGGAAGCAAGGAACAAAGGACAAACTCAGGAACATAACCTAATAGAACGGTGAGGGACCCGGCGTTGCCAAAGAGATCGGCATGGTTCTGCAGCGGCGGCCTCTGTCCATCAGAAGCGTCTCGTCCGCAGCCCTGAGCGCTCCCGCGTTCAGCGCCACAGCCTCCATCTCCAGCGCTTATCCCTTGCCCGCTGATCCGACCCGCATGTTCCCGACACCCCTTTGCATCCCCTCCTCCTCCCAACGGGGCCTTCACACACGGGAAGAGGGGCGCACCCGAAGGTTGGCGGCAAATCTCGTCAGGGTCCGTCTGCTCCTCCTCTTCCTCATCATCACCCTATCGAGTAGTAAAATTGGCCAGAGATGTTTTGGGAAACCTCGGAGACACAGCACGCGTCCGTCGGGGGAAGCTTCAGGACGGCTGTGAGGGGGTTCCAAGCTATTCGGGGTGGCCGCAGGGCCACCCCCCAGGAGCTGCGAGCCAAACCAAGTGGGACAGTCCAATTTCACAGGATGGAAGCCCGTGGGGAGCCGTAGGCCGAGGCGAGAGCACCAGTCTTGACTGAAAAGCGAGTACGCATCAGGCGGGAGCGTTGTTCTAGAGCTCTCATGTCTGCAGAAGGACTACACTTAATCACGCCACTCCGTGGCCACTGTGTGTTTCCGATTGGCGTGCCCGCCTGTGCACACGTAGTGTCGGTGAGAGACAATCGATCCTTCAATCGCCAACACTGCCTGGAGCTGACATGTTTACGGAACGTGCTACAGACCAGTGCATGCCTTCTACAGTGTTAGCATATCGCGCTACATATCTGCGCTCCGCCTAAAGCGCATACAAAAACTGAGCCAGTTCTTCAGGCCAAGCTTTCTATGTAGTTTGCCCCAACGGAAGCGGCACTGGTGCGCAATACATGTGCAATCACGCACTCGGTCAGCATGTCCGCCTGATTCTTAGCGGTAGCAACTGTACCTACATGAATTCTCCGACGACTAAAAAGCATCCTGAGCCCACAGAAACCCGGTCCGAACATGCTGTTGTTGTCCTACGCCCTGCCATAAAGAGAAAGCTCCCGCAACGCTGGGGCCTGATGCAAGTCGTCCAATCGGAAAACGTTCGTTGTACCGAACATCGACGCCCAGGGAGACGCCAAGATCCTGAGCCAGAGCCTGAACGATGAGCCCAAAACAGCCCCTTTGATGACTGCATGATAGTCTCCCCCCCTCAACTCCAACGGATTGCGTTGCACCGAACTACTAGCGTTTGAATCATGGTGGTCAAAGTTGACCACTAATCCCGAGGTGCGCTCGAAGGTCATCGAGCATCCCGCAGGGCCACGATCTACAACAACTGTCAGAGAATCGAAGCGGCACACCTGACAACGATGATAGGCCAGGTGCCGACCTAGCTTCTTCATATCTGACTGACTATCTGAAGTGGGGCACTTCAGGACTCTGCAGAGGGTCTTGGTGGCCCCGACTAGATCGGGTCGGCCCGCTGGAAACACACCCGCGAAGGGGGTCAGGACCTCTTGGGGCTGGCGGCTCAAAACAAACAGCATAGTCGGAAACTGGGGCTCCCATGCGCTCGCAGGTCCTACCTGCACCTTTTACATCCAGCTTACAAAGTATTCACATCAACTGCGTTGGTGGAACTCGTCATCTGCGGAGGGCGGAAGGTACCCAACGGTTGTCCCCGATACCCCTCCGAGTGGCACAAGTTCTCTTTCTGCCAAGGGATCTGCTAATCTCCATGGCCCAGGAGCTACTGATCAAGGTTTAGCTCCTCAGATGTCAGGAGTAGCATCTTAGATGCCCTCGATGATGTGCTCGCTGGCGTCATCAGTGGAATAGCTTAGTTCCTGGCTTGGCCTGGTGAGACGGACTGGTATTGCGTGATATTCCAGTGCGGGTGTTGCCCCGGCCGCTGTGCAGGGAAAGTTGTCCCTCCGTAGGAGTGGCCACTACCCACGCCAGCAATGCAGTATGAGGATAAATAAAGGCACATGCTCGATCAAATATCGATCTCTCAAGACACTCATACAGGCAAGGAGCGTCAGATGAGAACTCAGACTCACAATTGACAGCTTTCGTCAGGATGGGTGGTAGGCCCCTCTTCGGGACAAGGGCCTGGAATTGATCATGCTTAGCTTGGCCTCCACATTCTCACCCCACAACACAAACTGCAATTCTGCGAGCAGGTTACTAGCACATGTCTGTCAGAAGATACCCGATGGAAGAAGGCTGGGGGCGAATCGGCCAAGCTAGATACATATATTGAGGTGTTAACTAATATACGTATACAAATATGTGTATACATATATATATATATATAGATATAACTCCCTGCAACTCATTATCCTGGCAGCGCGTGCACCCGCATCCAACCTGGCCTCCAGCAGGAATCCGCGGTCCCCACGCAGTTCGGGCGCTGCGTAGTGGAGCGCTGCGCCAGCCTTGCCGCTGAAGCCAGCAGGAGGGGCAACCGAATAGGGACCCTTATGAATTTCGCATGTGATTCCTGTCCCTCTCAGTCCACCACCTTCTCCCCCTTCCTCTCCTCACTTCTCTTGCCACCTCCCCCTCCCCCTCCTTTTGCAACTCGCCCTCCAGCCACCACGCTGCGGGGAGGAGCCTCTGAGCGGTCTCCTCTCAAATGGGCCCGCTTGCGGCGGCGCCCAGGATCAGTTTGTAACGTGCTATGGCAGCAGCAAGGAGCGCGACACGAGAGAGAAGAGGGGCGGGACAGACCAGGGAGAGCGAGCGGGCGGGGGGACAAGGAATGAGAGCTCCAGTGAGTGCAACTGGGCATATCAAGACGAAAGGCATGACCACACCTGTTGTAATGAGTCCCTCAAGCAAGCACAGTCGAGAAGACACCGTGAGATCTGCCGACATCTGCTGATCGTGGTTCTGCCTCTAACCAACAATCTCAATACAGCGCAAGCAGTCGGGAATACGAGGCAAACACTTTGACTACAAGTCTGACACCACGGCACTGCAAGGGAAAGATATCTGGACGGGAAGCCATGAAACAAGCCAAACACCGAGAGCAACGTTCAGCGTGTCAGCGCGAAAGGCATCGTGCTCTGGACCCGGTTTCGAGGTCCAGCGAAAGCTGATGGAGGTCAACGCGAACATGATTAGCAGCGCGGCCAACGCGAGCGACGGAACTAAGTACCTCAACAGATGAGGTGAGGCCAGAGCTGATGGGGGCCCGCTGGAGCCATCGGCTGCGTCCTTGAAGGGCTGAAAATGCGGGCTGCCTCCTCCAAAAGTAGAAAAGTCTCTTTTCGACCGCACTTCGAAACAAGGATAGAGCACAACCGGCTACTTCCCAAGAGCGGAACTATCGTTGACCATGTCGTCAAGTGTCATGCGGCGACGCGCATGAGTGTTACTGCGCTGAGGGCCGTCGAGCTCAGCAATTTGGGGCCGCCTCACGTTACCCTCGCCTCACTTGACCCTCTCAGAGGGAGAACACAAATAGATGACTGCAAAAGTTGACCAACATCGCGGCTCCGCGGTGAGGCCTCCTTCTCATGGTCCTCGTCCAACTCGTCGATCCCGACTCGGGTAGCAAGATTGGCTCGAGCGTTTTGTCTAGACAACAGAACAGGCAGCGACGCCGCAATGCGCGGGCAACGGGGAGGGCCCCAGCAGACGAAGAGCTTCAAGCAGATGGTACATCGACTACGGGTTACAACGAGCAAGTCGTGACCACGGACGGCACCTGCAACGGCACCGAGGAGTACTGCCTTGTCGAGGCCGACATCTCGAGCGACAGTGCGGCGGACACGGGGACAACAGTAAGAAGGCAGTGGCCAGCGGCGCCGTTGACGACGGTGAACGCCCACCTGTCCTCCATGCCGCGGCCGTCTTCCCACCCGTCAGTGCACACACCAAAAGAGCAGTGACAGAAGGGCAGGGCAAGGCAAACGGGAGCGAAACTCACAAGGGCCAGGACCTGGAAAGCGCAGGGGCCAGGCACACCGACAAGGGTGCGAACCAGCTGGGCATCGCCAAGCAGGACGAAGCCAGTGGCATCACGATGCAGCTTCCCACCAACCCTGGTGACAGCACCACGTCCGACACGAAGAGCACGACCAAGTACAAAATCGTCAGTGTCGAGGACAGGGGCCAGCACAGAGTAGGGGAACCAGGCAGTAGCCAGCGGCGTGCATGACGACGGCAAGGACCCCCTGTCCTCCCCTCCGCGCTGTCTTCCCAAGCTACCCTTCTCTGGTTGTCCGCCGCAACGTCCGCACTTTTCGATGCTGGTCATGCTAGCTCGCGTGCGTGCCACTCGTGTCACGCGCCAAGTGAGCAAAGATCGCGAAGCAGATCCGCAACCCAAACTGAGAGGGGTGAAGGCCGATGCTGCAGTGTGCAGCACAAACTATACCGTTCAGGCCGAAGCAACAACCCCAAAGAGGCACGGCAACTACACGCGACGTCTAAAGCACAGGAAGGAACAAGGGTAAGAGCGAGCAAGGGGCCGATGTAGAAGGACATTAGAAGGATAAAACGACCTGAAGAGTGTCGTTCGCACCAGCTCGTGTGAGGTATGCGAATGGAGCCAGGGATAAAATGAAACGCGCAATTCGGGTGGAAAATCGCACGCTCTCCCGGGCAACCCTTCTCTGCTGGAGCGCTGGTTGGTTCACCCTCGACAAGAGCAGTCCAAGAAGGGCACGCACCGAAGGACGGGCAAGGGCGGCAAGATTATCAAAACATGCCAACCTGCACACACTTTCAGCTTCGCAGCCGGTTGGTCCAACGCAGCGAGAGCAAAAGCGGGACACGAGCAACAATTAATTAGACTGACATCGGAGTCGGTTGCGAGGACCTCGTAGAAAAGGGTTGCAGGTCCTGCGACGGCCAGAAAGACATGCGTGCCAGCTTCCTGGACATCGAGGCAAAGAGCACCGGCAACACCACCATCGAGGGCACGACGAGGGTCGCCGCCCGCCCGATCCAGGTGGCCAAGTCTGGAAACCCTGAAACCCTGAGAGCGCCAACGTTGACTTCTTTTGGGGGATTCAGACTCTACTTCCGCCGACCTTCCGCCGACGTTCGGCAAGCGGACCCCTCCTCGTTTTACTTCTGCTAGC